TCTTTCCCTGGCACCACAAAGTCATCTTCCACTTCTTCCACTGGTTCTCCAAGGTCTCATCTTATGAATCACCTACCCATTCCTACTCCTATAATTAAGACTGCTGAGAGAAAAATCACCATGTGAAGACTGAAGTGGTTGTACACCATGGTCTCTGGTTTCAGTAGGGCTTTCAGTACTGCCTTGGCTGGGACTCTGGTAAACTCCTATTCTGTTGTCCAAAATAGCTACCACAAACATTTATCATTTGTCTGTGTTTCCTGTCTCCTTCTCTTTGCAATTATGTTTCTCAAAAGTATCTTAAATTCTAAATTTCACCTCCAACTCGTCTCATTCATTTATGGCTTCAACATTTAGTCATAATCTAAGGTATTCCATATCACAACAGCAGTTGGGATTACTCTCCCAAACTCTAGATATGCAAACTTCAATGCTTCCTGCTCTGTTTTCTGGAACATTCCACACTAAACCATAATCTCAATCTGTCCCAAAATAATGAAAGTTTCTTTACTCTCGCCAAAGTCTGGTCTTCATCCCGTATCTTGGTGTACCACCATCTGCCCAAAGATCAGCTCAAAAATCTGATGGGGGTACTGGATGGCTAGATGGAGTAGCAGAAAGGAGAGTTTTTTTTTTTTTAATGTAAGTGATTAACATAGGAAGATTAGGGAGGATTTTTACTTTTATTGTATTTTTCTGAATTTGCCAGTTAAAATCTATCTATACCTATTTATATAAATGTCCCTTCTACCTACCTTAACTTTTTTTAAAAAAATATTTATCATTATATTATTTTTTAATTTGCTACAGGGAACATGTGTTCACCAGAGACAGAGAGATAGAGAGACAGAGAGACTGAAAATGAGAAAGCAAGATGCCAGGTCTGGGACTTGAACCGCAGTTGGCCATGTGGGAGTCCAGCACCTCAACCACCATGCCTTTTTTTTATGCCAACTGCTGAGCCCCTACCTTAATTTTAAAGTTTGTAGACAGGAATCTTTTGAAATCATAAAATTTAATAAGTCCATGGGGGGAAAAAAAAACCCTATGAAGATCATTTTAAAAATATCCCACAGGAATAGAAAGCTGAAATTTTCATAGTTTTCTGAGAAATGAAACATAATTTTCTTTCTTTTTCTCTTATTGCCAGAGGTCACATGCACTAGAAAGAAAGAAAGACCAAGAGAGAGAACTCTGCAGTGGGGTATGGTCATACCACACTCCTTTACTTCCTAGCCTGTCAGGATCATTGTGTGTGTTTTTCAAGTCACTGGGGCTAGGATTCAAATGCTGGTCAGCCACATGAGATACCGCTTCTATAACCACTGGTAATGGTGCCAACTTATCAGTTTCTAATTGATAGTTAATCAGTGTTGCCTTATATCTTCAATAGACTGTAGTTACTTGCATATAGCTAGGCATAAAGTTAAATTAAAAGGTTTAAATGTGTCCAGGCAAAATAACCAACATAAAAACTCTAAGTAGCCTCCTATTATAACAAATCTTTCCTTCCCTATTTCCACTATTTTTTCCCCCCTATTTGTCAGAATCAGCATACGGCCTTAAAAATGGTTTCTGAAACCTTTTATCTGGTCTCTAAGGTTGTAAACACTAACTATTAGTACAGATTTCAGGGTCACTTCAAACTCTGACACGCATGTTCCTCATTGGCTTGTCAAGAGATACGTACCAGACTTGCAAGTGCTTACTGTTGTTTCCATTTTTTTTTTAAATGCACCCCTCTATTTTGAGAGAAGGAGAAAAGAGGATAGACAGAAATAGCTCTCGATAGGGTCTCATACTATAATCTTCCTTCTCTCCCCATCCCTCTCTGCCACCGTATTTGAATGTTTAAATTCCATATTATGAATTGCCAAAATAGGGTAAAAATTCAATGAGAAAATGTTTGTCACTATCTATACATTTTTAAAGTGCTCATATATAAGAGATAAGAACACTAGTCTCATTAGTCTGCTGCTCTATTTGGATATATAGAGAGGGGAAGGGTCCTGTTCAAACTACTATGTAGAGTAGAGAGGTAATATCTCTTTGCACTGAATGACTGACAAAGGACTTATATCCACAATACACAAAGAACTCCTACAAATCAGTTATAAGAAGATATACAACCTGATGTTTAAAGCTGACGGAAGAGGGCCAGCCAGGTAGTGTGGTGGTTAAGGTGGATGGACAGCATGGTTCAAGTCCTAGCCCAGCTGCTTGACAAACATGCCAGGTGCCGCATGCATGCCCAGAATCCTGATAGGAGGGTGAAGGAGAAGGGACTGAGGCATAGCCATCCCTCCCTGGGAGGTGCTTTCTCATTTTTTTTTTCTCTCTCTCCCTCTTTTTTTCACTCTCTCTGGCAATCACATGTGTCCCATAGCAGATTAAAAAAATTTTTTTTTTTAAAAAGCTGAAAAACGTAACTAGGCATTTCACAAAAGCATAAATACAAATTTTTAATACCTTATGAAAAGTTGTTTAACCTTGTTAGTCATCAGGAAATTGAGAAGTAAAAGCATAATAAGACACCACTACAATGGTTTATGTTGATAACATCAAATGTTAATAAAGACCTGGAATAATCAGGCCTCTCCTACATTGATGGTTAAACATAAAGTAGTTTAAGTCACTTGGAAAACTACTGGTGAGTGGAAGAACAAAACTTCATCTCACAGGTATGATGTTGAGCAACAGAAGCTACATATAAAAAAGTATAGGCTTTTAAATAACTTACATAAATCAGTGTCGAGTTTACCACTGGGAGAAGAGGATATAGACTGGGAGGGGTATGAAGAAGACTTTGGGATGTTCTTTATCTCAGACTGGATGCTGGTTACAGTCTCGAAGTCATCAAGCTGTACACTAGAGATTCGTGCACATACTTCATGGGTTTTTTTTTTTATTAATTTTTTGAAGAGGTTTTTGCTATAGGGCATGTGTACTCGCCAGAAAGACAGAGAAAGAGAGACAGAAAGCGAGAAATCACCCCCCCGGGGGGGGGGATGACCACGCTGCAATCCCTTCTCCTCCATTCTCCTCTCGGGATCTTTGGCACACATGCACACAGTGTGAGTTTAAGCCACTGGGTCTTGGGACTCGAAACGCAGTCACTACATGGGAGTCCAGCGACATAGACATTTGCTAACTGCTGGTCCAATACTTTATGTTCTTATACCACAACTAGGGAAAAAAATCTTTGTCATACAAATCTGGCAAGTTATTTCTGTACAGGTGTAATACTCAGAACCTCTCTAGCAGACTCATCATGGACCAGGAAAAGAGAGATCTGTTTTCCTTTGAGATTTGCTTCCTGCTAATTCTAAATACTGTAATCACTTTACCTATTTTGCATCTGTTTCAGTTTCTTCACTGGCGAATGGGAGGATGACATATATTTTTTTCACACACTACTGTAATAATCAGGTAATATGAATATAAGTGCTTTGGAAAGTAAAAACTCTATGAATGTGTGAAGAGACTTCAAAAAGTTTGTAGAAAATGGAATTAAAGTACAAACCTATTTTGGTGCAAAAAATTTTTGAAATTTAAACACAGCTTTTTTTTTTTTAAGAGGTTTTTGCTATAGGGCGCGTGCGCTCGCCCGACAGACAGAGAGAGACAGAGAGACAGAAAGCGAGAAATCACCCCCCAGGGGGGATGGCCACGCCGCAATCCCTTCTCCTCCATTCTCTTCTCGGGATCTTGGGCACTCAGGCACACACCTGGTGTGAGTTTAAGCCACCGGGTCTGGGATGCGAACCGCAGACGACTACATGGGAGTCCAGCGACATAGCCATTACGCTAACTGCTGGTCCCTAAACACAGCTTTTTCATAATGCACATTTTCCATACACTTTTTGAATGACATATATATAACATATATGTGTGTGTGTGTGTGTGTGTATATATATATATATATGTATATATATGTATACAGTAATATTATTTTTCCAGGCTTTGGAAGAGTCAAAGTTTCTCAAAATACTACAGAAGACAATATTTATATCACTGCCAATTCCCTGACAATTGTCAATTACTTTTTTTAAAAAATTATTTTTTTTCAGAGAGATATAGAGCTAGAGATGGAGAGAAATAAGGATAGAGACTAGAAGAGAGAGAGGGACGCCCTTTCCAACAGGGTCTTCATGCCACAATCCACCTCTAGCCTCAGCTGGCCCAGATCATGAGCGCCTGTACACAGCGTGCTCTGGGAGGTCCCAGGATGCAAACCCAAGACCTTTCCCATGGGCCCACCTTGGAACCACTGTTACACTGTGTGGCCCACTCTCTTCTAGAATCACAAGAAGTTGAAAGTTAATTATGAGAAGATTAAAAGTGTATGGATCCTCTTCCTTTCATCCTACAGTACACCATCACAGTGACTGAGGATATGGGCTTCAGGGTTCTACTGGGTTTTTGGAAAAGCCATGATGCATTTTTACATAGAAAAAAAAAGCCATCACTTTTACAAAAAACCAATAGTTCTCTATCTTTCTTGCTCTATAACATTGGGAATTTTGGTATATTTTATTTCAAATTGAAAAATAACAATAATATATTTACAGGGTACAATGTGATTGTTTTCATAAATACATAAATTGTGGAATGAATGAATCAAGCTAATTAACATATTCATTTTACTGAATCTAAAACATTATTTAAGATACACTATTATTTTAATGTACCACTAAGAAAGAAAAATTAGTCAATTAAGCCATAATACAACACCTTATTATTTAGAAGCTTTGATTACATATATTAAAAGGCTACTGTAGGGTCAGCAGGTGGCATGGTGGTTAAGGGTGCTGGGCTCCCACATGGCCGACAGTGGTTTGAGTCCCGGACCTGGAGGCTTGCTTTCTCCCTTTCCCTCTCTCTTTCTCTCTCACTCTGTCCCTCTCTGGTCAAATTAAAATAAATAAATAAAGTTATATAAAGTGATTCTTTTTTTTAAAAAGCTATTGTAGCCTTCTTCAGTTTTGGGTTTTTAACAGTATCATCTTGAATGTATAAAATGTAAAATTTCAAGTGAAATAATCTGATTAAGTTATCTGAAGAATTTCTTCACACCAAGTCCTGCTTCTTCACATCATTTTTTCTACTGAGAGTTTTGGATATCTGTATTTCCCATGCAATTTTGTCTCCTGTACTATCAAGGGCATTGACAACTGAGTCACAGAACTCCCCTGTTTTTTCTAGGATTCTCACCCATGCCACGGAGCCAACCTGGCAAGTTCTCAGGCATGTGCATAGGCAATAACACCTCAGTTATGCCGGGTGTCTGTTGACAGGGACTGCAAAGTGCATTCTGATCTCGAAGGCGTTACTTTGTGACAAAATGGGCTTCTTTAGAGCTGATGAAAAATGGCCCTTCAACACTGTGAACCCCAGCTTCCTCTTTAATAAAACAGTATTTCTTCATAGGACTGTGATTAAAAATTAAATTAGACAACTTTGAAGATTCAAAGTAGAAGATTCAAGATAGCAAATTCTAGTTTTAAAATAATTTCTGATGAAAATATTTAAAATGTGACTCCATTGCAGCAGAACCTCATGCTGCTTATATGTGTGTTGCTTTTCACTTTGGGGTAAAAAATCGATGTCATACTACAACAATTTACTTAATCCAGCCAGCCATCTAATACACATTTGCTGTATATATGGCAAAGGAAAGTGCTGGGGGCCCTGTTAAATGCTGGGGATCCTAAGTTAAGATCTATTTCACTAAAAATCATGTATGGCTATAATCTTTAATCTAATCATTTAGCAATGTTATCTGACATGAAAATGAGATGAGATTTTAGGGCAATTTCTTAATAAAACAAGTGTGCTTGTTACGTTTTTTCTTTATATACACTTAAATCTATTTTTAAATTGCACAATACATTTTGCTATGAAAAAGTATAAAACTTGAACACAGAGTTGAATTTCTACTTTGTTAGCTAGTAGCGTTGCCAGATAAAATATAGGACCGTTCAGTTAAGTGCGAATTTTGAAAACAAACAAACAAACAAAAACCAAACAAACAAAAAAACCAGTAAATACATTTTTGATGTAATTATATCCCAAATATTGCATGGAATATACTTACAATAAAATTTGTTTTTTTTGTTCGTTTGTAATTCAAATGTAATGGGACACTCTATGGACTTTTTTTTTTTTTTTTCTGAAAGTTTTCCCTCTTATTCATACATGAGATGAGAAAGAAGCACCCTCTACAGGGTCTGGTCATGCAGCAATTCTGTTCTGCCAGTCCTCCAGTTCGTTAGGATTGTTTGTGGTTATCCATATGAGTGCCCAGTATGCTCTCAGGCCAGCCAGATCAGGGGCTCAAACTGTGGTCACCATGTGGCTTCCAGTCCCCTGGTCTGGTGTGCCAACTGTGCCACAGAGGCTGGAACCAGGATACTCTATGCGTTTATTTGCTAAATCTGGCAACCTTAGCACTTACACTACTAACCTTAGCTTTTTCTAAAGAGGTCGTCCCTATTTCAGTTTGCTGTATATTCTTCCAGACTTGTTGCTATGAATTCTGAGATATATATCAATTATGTAGGATATTCTTTACCTAAATGGAACTAGGCTGTACACAGTTCTATCTATATACACTTAAAATCATCCCTTAAAGATAATTCCATATAGATCTGTGTAATACTTAAAATTGTCATAAAGTATTCCACACATTATCATGGTCTACTCAGCCATCCTTCTATTGATGAACACTTAGGTTCTTTCCATTATAATTAATACCATAGTCAACTTCTTTTTCATGCTTCTTTTTACTTCTACCAGGACTACTTCTTTTTTTCTTCTTTTTTTGGAGAGGTTTTTCCTATAGGGCACGTGCACTCGCCAGATAGAGAGAGACAGAGACAGAAAGTGAGAAATTACCCCCCAGGGGAGATGGCCACACTGCAATCCCTTCTCCTCCATTCTCCTCTCAGGATCTTGGGCATGCACGCACAGGTGCCCGGCGTGGGTTAAGCCACTGGGTCCTGGACTCGAACCGCAGTCGACTACGTGGGAGTCCAGTGACATAGCCATTATGCTAACTGCTGGTCCCTGTACCAGGACTTCTATGACAAGCAAAAATGCTCAGTCACTGAATATGTGCCTTTTATTTTACTAGGTACTGCCTGGTTGCCTCCTAAGTGCTATATCAATTAATAGTCCTACAAGCAATATATTAGACTATTCATTTCTTAACAGTCTGACCAATATCTGACATTAAGAAACTTTTTTTGGTCAATTTAACGGCAGAAAATAGTTCACAATCATTTTATTTTTTTGTGATTATACTAAATTTTAGCATAAAATTTAGTGATCATGTCAACCACCTCTTTTAGTATAAAATTTAGTATCTCTTCATATTTATTAACCACATACTTTTCCATATGTTCACAACTCATTCTTGTCATAACTGAAGACCAGCATCAATTTTGCTGGATTTTTTTTTTTTTGTAGAATCTGTTTTCCCACATCTTAAAAACAAACAAACAAACAAAAAACCAGAACACTTCCTATTTTCAGTATTTTCCCACCTCTCCTAGATTCTTACTCCTCTAAGGTTACCCGAGAATCGGTTGTTGCAGTCACAAAACTTAGTGTTTGCAGATAGAAGTTCTCATTCCAGGCCAAATTCAGTAAGACTGAACTAAGTAACCATTTCTTCCAACTGACAGTTCCTCTCTACTTACCTATTTCTGCTTCTCCTTTACTCCAGACAATAAGTAACAAAAGTCCTGTCAATACTGTCTTTACAATTTCTCATTTCTTTTCATTTACTCGCTATTATCATCCTTCCAGTATAGACCTTGGTTCTCTTAGGCCAGCCTGAACTACTGGACCAAGCTCTTTGCTTGACCTCCTATGGTATTCTCTCCTAAAAGACTGCAATGTTATCAGGTTAATCAGTTTAAAAACACGACAGTGATCATGTCAACCACCCCTCCAAAAACCTGCTGTTATTTCCCAGTGCCTACACAAAGAGTGTCCCCCTCTCTCTGAATGTGTGCTGCTTAATGTGGCCTTTCCCTAAGCAGAAATTGGAAAATCCCAAGACTTCCAAATTCTAGCTTCTGTTTCCATCATTCATGTCTTCCCGGCTCTATAAATTGCCCTTTCCTTCATGAAACCAGTCCTTATTTTTCCCTCCTCTGAATTCCTGTAGCACCTGTCATTTGCAGCACTCACATGGCTTTGTATTGTATGGCCTTATGTGGTGTGGCTATTTCTCTATATATCCTATTTTTCCTTTCTAGATTTTAAAATTATCTTTAGGTTGGGTTTTTGTGATCTGTTAATATTATTTCTTAAAGTAACTGGAACATTCTGCAGTGCAAAGACTTATAGAATAAATTAGGTTTCAAATTAGGAAATGTTTTTGTTAGATAGGCTTTAAAGCATATCAATAAAAGTTGGTG